GGAGGAAAAAAACTGATTTCTTCGAGAAAAAAGACATTGCCCCAAACGTACCTCAGTATCGAGCAATTGAAATATTTTGGGCATTAATTGAGAAACAATATACTCTGAAAAAAATGACAGAAAGAAATTTTGAAAAATTTCGGCGCGTTATAGAGAAAATCATCATAGAAGTTGGAGAAACGAGTGGCAAAGCGCTCATGAGAGGTCCTCGACAAAGTCTTCTCTCCACCGGTACGGAAGGGGTATTTGGACAAGTGAAGGATTAAAAAACTTCGGTCTGGTCATCGTTAATATTCCACAAAAGTTTCGTTAGATTTGATTCGTGCATTCATTTTTTGTACGTTAAAATAGCTTGACACTTAACTTCACCGGACAGTCCATAGCAGAAGCTTAGGACCTTAAGAATACGTATTTAAATTTTTAATTTCGAAAATCTCTGTACGTATTTGTTAAATGAAAAAATAAAAATTTACTTATGGCATAAGAAGGCACAAAATTAAGAGTTCATTGAACAACAGTATTTAAGGGTAGGCTCCTTTTGAATGGCTCTATTTTAATGGGACCTTCAAAAAATTCCTGATTAGTCGCCACAGGACGAGTACCCCCATCTTCTCCAACGAATGTGTCTCCTTCGTATCTTAACGCACTTTTGAACGTGAAGTTTCAAGAAATTTCGGGAAATTTCAAGTTCAGATGCACTTTACTATATGAAGAAGGCATATTCGTTGAAAAAGATGGGGGTACTCCTCCTGTGGCGACTAATCAGTAATTTTTTGAAGAAGGTCCCATTCAAGTACATCCATCGCTGAACCCAGGTGGGTTTATCCAGAAAATCAAGTCATGGAAATCATAAAACCCACTCCCATTTGAATCTGTAGCATGGTACTACAGAAATTATTATTTTGCTTAGCCGCGCAAGTATTCAGCTTTTATTATTGGTATCGATTGAGAAATTTGATGCATATGTACTGAAAATACAAAGCCTTTTCGGATGCTTGTCGACGGAAAATTTTGATTGATAATGGTTTCAGAGCGTACCATTAATGGGGCTGTCAAATCTTTTCCAAATTTTCAAATCCGGAATTCGAATTAGCCGACTTAGTTGGGACCCAATTCCTGATTTGAATTAATTATTGCTATTATTAATTTCCTTGATATTCGATCGGATCAGGTGGACGTCAAATAGTTTCATCATCACATTCAAGTGCATTTCAGATTTCTTGAAGTTTTTTTCAATATTTTCGAAAATTACCATTTCATCTTATCATTTCTAATAATTTTTTGAGCATATTTTTCAGTTAATATAATGATAAAATGTGAAATTTCAAAAAACTTGATTTGCTGCCGAAGGTGAGAACACAACTAGCGGAGATGAATAACATGTAACTATTTTAAATCCATACCTTTCTCAATAATTTGTATCTTTATATCGTAAATGAATTTTGTCTTTAAATTGAGAAAATCCGGATTCTGTTCAGAATGACATCCCGATTGCGAACTATTCAAAATCCGAAAAGTTCAGATTTACCAAATTCAGAGTATCCGGATTTGACAGCCCTAATAGATTTCAACCACTTTCATATTTCACAATTTCGTTTCGAAAAAATCAACAATAAAAAAAGTAATAAAATGAAACATGTTTGATTTAAATTCATACCAACATGTAAGCCATTGAAAAGGATTAAAAAAATACTCACAAACGAAAAACAATTGCTCACACACAAGATCTATCGGCTTACATTACGCTGGATTTTTAAAAAGATTATTGTTAGTCTCGAAATGTTTTTTTGCAAAATCGTCAATACATAAAAAGTCCATTATATCTAGTGTAAAGCAGCCGACCTGGCCGGGCCCCTGCGGGCCCCGGGCCTGGTATTCCGTACCACAATATACCACGGTTGGTACGGTACTGGCTTTTGTGACACTTGTAAGCGAAAGAACATGGCCAAAAGTGAACGAACAAACATGCATCCCTGGTTGAAATCACTCTGCCGAATTCTGCAGAAATCGACAAAAACCCTATGCATATTGTATTATGCATATTTTTTTTACATAATCCTGCAGAAAATTTGTGTCGCTATTATCCTGCAGAACCATATGTGCATAATTATGCATAATTCTGCATAGGTTTCTTCAGAAAGCTCTATGCATAAAGCTTTTCTGCAGAAAATTGGGCCAATTTTCTGCAGAATATTGGGCCAATTTTATGCTGGAAATTTGTTCAAATTTTTACTAGGGATACTCGGTACAAATTAAATTATTATTATTATATATTATTATTAAGTACAAAGTACAAATTGCCACAGAAAAGTTCTCAACTGGCAATTACACATTAAAAATACCATCCATCAGTAAAGTTGAGGAGACCGAACGGCGAATTGTGGCATAAAACCGGAGGTAGAAAACGAGAAAATAGAAAAACTTATTAACCATTCAATTTATGCCCAAAATCTTTCAATGGGCCGACACTGAGGTACTTTTGGGGTGCTGTCTTTCTTATCGACGAAATCATTTTTTTTCGTCGAAAATACTCACTATTTTGGTGCTATGGCACGTAGCCATGTCCGGCCGAAACAAAACGCGTTTGTTTATGATAGAGGAGGTCTATCGATTGATGATACACTCTTTGAAATAATCATGTTCTTGGAAGGTGGAAGCGAATATATTTGAGTCGTTCCCCTTTTTGTCAATAACTGGCCATCTGATGCATTTCATCGGAGATTTTGCTTGGTTCTGAATTTATATTTCGAACGAACGTTATTTTTACTTCTATATGAGTTGAACTTTACAGGTTTGACCATTCGAGGTTAAGGAAGCAGTAGTTTTCATCATCCATGACGAGAAACTTCTAGGAGTCTATTTCAACATTTTCTCAACAAGTTTTCCACAAATTGTTTTAGCTACGTCTTTTTTATGTTCATTGTATTTTGGCGCGGTTTTAGTGTTGCAAGTTATGAAGTCCATCTTATTGGCTTTGATTTTGGGAAGATAGGTTTTTGAAATTTTTAGATGTCTGGGTGCAACCCTCACGGATCTGTGGGGATTTTTTCAGAAAAAATTTTGCACGTTTATCGTCAGTGTTTGGATTCTCTGGCGGACAGGTCAACAAGGCCAAATTTTATATTTTCCATTTTCGCGATCCTTAGATATGTATAGTGTGTGATGAATTTTGTCGCATGCATACCTTGACGGATAAAGTGGTTACGTGCCTTTTTTCGATCCGAAAAAATCACTTTTTCGCACGAGTGACAAACTAATTTTTCCACTTCTTCTAAATTTTGTGCTGTCATTTTTTAACTAAAAGAGCTAAACAAATTCTGTTTGCAGTTTTAGAAGGCTTATCAAATTTGCCAGTTTCTATGGTTCTTACATGTGCAAAATTAATTTTATCTGGGTGAACCAATAGAGGGAACCTTGACACTATCTTTCACCGGACAATCCATACGCACATCTATATTATAATTTCGAAAAGTCCGTCTCGTCAAATTTTCCATGACATTGCTGCATTCTGATTGGTTGTCGGGTTGCTTGCTCCACCAATCACAGCACGGCTATAATAATGGTTACAATTTGAGTTACATACAACATCTAGTACAACATCTGGTACAACAATTGGTACAACATCTGGTACAACAATTGGTACAACAGCTGGTACAACATCTGATACAACAATTGGTACAACAGCTGGTACAACAATTGGTACAACAGCTGGTACAACAATTGGTACAACAGCTGGTACAACAATTGGTACAACATCTGGTACAACGCAGGGTACAAGTTTGGGTAGATCTTCAGCTACAATTTCGAAAAGTTAAAACATTAAACACAATCCTTTGCAACGTCAAATAAATCCCTTAGCAACCATTCAAAAAAATCCTTAGCAACGTTAAATAAATTTCTTAGCAAGGTTAAAAGATTCCTCGGCAACGTTAAAAAAAATTCCTCACCAGCGTTACAAAAATTCCTTAGCAACGTTAAAAAAAGTCTTTGGAAAGTCGGCAACCAATCAGAATGCAGGATTGTCGTAGAAGATTGAACGAGACTTTTCGTAGTTTTAATCTATTTAGATGTATGTTTACTCTCGAGTTATAATTGCGATACAGATTAATACATCACATTATGCAATGCTTTTATCTAATGATTTACGTTTGTTGGCTTAAAACTTTAATTGTGGACCGTCTTTAAGACGGGCTTATAGGCTAGTTATAAATAAGTAAGTATTTACTCGGTAGAAAACTCCTGAGAACTAGACGCTCACGTCATATGCATGCCCATTGCCACGGGTTGAAAATGTTGGAAGCTTTATGAAATATTTACCAAGGACATGATGAAACAATTTAACAAATAACAACCAGTCACCTTACCACACTGGAAAGACGAAACGAGAATACGTTTTTAGATATGCATTACTTGAATCGCACCTTTTGTTTAAAATATTAATTCAGGAACGCTGGCTAATAATTCATGTAGGGCAACAATATCTGAAGTACATTTTTGATTTATCGTATTTATTCGACCTGGTGCTGAATTAGAATTTTATTGACAACGTCATTTTTTGAAAATTGTATAATTCGAATTTCCAAAAACGCTCGATTCGGGTTGTAGAGGAAAAAATTAGGAATCTTTTGTTGAAAGCAGCATTTCGATATCTTTTATCGTCGATATCGCCTGGAAATCTGCGTCCCGGTTTACAATTTTTGCGACTTTCGGCTACTACCTACGGGGAAGGGGGCGGAGTTGAACCAAAATATTGATACCGTTGTACTCGCAAAAATCACCTCTACCAATTATGCAAATATTAACAAAGTCAAATTTTTTTGTGACCCTCGAGATTCCGGTTTTCATTATTGCTACTCATTATTGTTTCTCATTTGTGTATCTACATATTTTCATACATATGCAACTGTGCTGAGTCTGAAAAGTGTTTTGTCATGAATACATAAAAAATTATGCTTAAGGTTGTAAATAAATAAATGTGTACACAAAATTTCCACCAGCTTCACAAATGTACATGTTTATATTTATGAAGTTTATTTAATTTAATTTAACAAATTTTCATCTATATTTATCGTTACGAAAATATTTTAGCTGGAAAGGAGGATGACGTACGTATATATAAATTGATATTCGTTAGGGCATTTAAGTTAATCAGTAAATATTGAACAAAAAATATTATATTTTAAATTAGTACAAGCTAAGATAAATTAATATCCTAATTATCAATGTTGTTCTAATAGGAATATTATGAAAATTAACTTAATTTAATTAAGATATTTATAGGAAAATATATATTTACCGACATATTTATTTTGTACTCGAGAATTACAAATCGGCTTCTATTTTCCATACTTAGACCATGTAAAATAGAGAATTTTATCTTGTTGAGTCATTTTTCACTTTATTATTCATCTTTATCATACCATTGTTTCATGTATGCAGTTACATGTCGGTAGGTAACAAAGGATTTATTACTTTGCCCTGACAAGGTGGAGGACAAAAATGGAAACTAGGAAATTAAGAGATGCAGCCCCTACGCACTCCCAAACAACGAACAAAGAAAAGCTAGATTTAGAGACGGAAACACCCACATCAGCCAGCGGGCAAACATTGTTGTTTTAGATTATGCTGATCAGACTTCAAAGTGTCAGAGCAAATATTCTGCGGGGCGAGTGTCGTGATCGACAATATTGATCACCAACCACAAACACTGCGTCACCATTCAAAAACTGGAAATTCAGCAATTCACATGACGAGTACTGCATTCATAAGAAGTAGGGTGTCACAAAAATTGGATGAGATCATGAAACCTGCAATGTTTGAGAAAGCAAAACAAGTACCAATGGCGGCGTGTCAATCAACAGAGAAGGTGATGCGCCCAGTAAACGAGGATCCCAGAGTGCTTCTGCGGAGAAGTCTCGCAAAATATCTTCCTCTCTTGTTTTCCACTGAAAACCATCCTAGCATGGTCTGGAGAATCCCATATTAGTACTTCAATTGAGTAAAATATTGTCAACATGGGGGTGCGGGACGTTGACGAGGGAACACGTGACGGTATAATTAAGCTTGTTTGAATAATACATGTCGACAATATTAAAAAGAGGGGATACAACATTTAACATCGAAATTACGTTGAGTAGGCATGTACAGATTTATAGTTAATTTAGATATCTTCCTGAGAAGAATGTTGGAAATTGATATACACAGTAATAAACGGTGATGAAAAAACGTGCGACGAGCTATGAAATGCTGATTAGTTTCATAGATTCAACTAAGACACCGAGCCTGAAACCTTGAACTCACTCAGTTTCAGTGAGCAAGTAAGAGAGAGTAAGTTGTTTTGAATCAACAAGGTAATAATATGTATCCTTGCTTTGTTAGAGTTCTAAACCATGCAGTTATTAGCCTATTTAAACACATATAAATACTTCGTTCGATGACTTTCGTTGAAAGGATTCTCTTACACTTAAGACAGACTTTCAACAAGGGACCAAAGTTAACGAAAATGTCGTACGGCGCAGTAGTGAACGAAACTGACGATGAGGTGAAGGGGAATGACGCAAGTATAAGAACTAACAACCTCCGATGACGAGATGTCATAATCGCGGCATCCAGTTCTTTGGACATAGGATCAAATGCGTTTGGCTTAATGATGCATTCGGTCCTCCAGCAAAGAGACATCCATTCTATGGAACACCCGAAACCCACTCGGCCAAGTTTATCAAAGAGTATGAACCACATGTCGCCAATTAAACCGATGATGTTAAAGGTATACACACTTGGAAGAAATTTAACTGGGGCAGCCGCCCACTGGTTCCACCTAGCTGAGAGAGACCTCTAGAACGGGTTATGATAAACCGACCAAGGAATTCAATCCCAGCAATGGCTTGAAATGCGATAGCCACAGCTGGGGCGCCTTTCCGGGAAGGACTCTGTGCCAGATCAGGTTAATCATTTCATAACTACCCGTTAAAAGCCTGGAGAGACGGGGATATCCTTCTTTTTAACCATAGCAAATCTACATGCCCAGAGCGGGATGATGTTGACCGAAGAGTCCCTCTTCCAATTAATCATCGAAGCGTCAGTACTAAGAGCACTTCAAGTATAAGACCTTCCACAACCTGCCACACCTGAAAGCCCGGAATTACGCATTCGTCCTCTACGATAAGCAAAGGCGTGATCAATTGCTCTCCAAAGCTGAGGAGTAGAACAATCGACGACGGTAAACTTAGGCTGTCATACTTTTGAAGTTTAAAACCGAGTAACTGCTGCGCGTGCAAAAAATTCCGTCATAACAAATTAACAAAATTGACACTCAAAATAATATCTTAATACCAAGAAAACATTCCATCCCCATCGGTGAAATTAATTCCACAACCGACACCGGAACCGACACCTCAACATAGTCCAAGGTAGAATCTCCAAAAAACGCAAAAACATCTCATAGTTGAGTCTCAATAGTATGTATGTAAGATAGTGGAATTAAACAAAGTAGCCATGGATGGGTATACGTAGATGAATGTGAGAATGAGATTTTGGAGATTAGTATGCCTGGAGCTTTTGTCGAGTAAACAGTAAATAAAACCAGCTACAACTTGTCATAAAACTCCAGACTTTTGTGTCAACTTGTCTCTTCCATTTCTCATAATTATAAACAAAGACGACACATATTTCCATGAATAACTAAACACACACAAAAGCATAATAAAATCCATATCGTGAATTGAGCCGGGCGCAAAACGGATTGAAGCCTTTAACCTAACATTATAATCACGAGCCATATTGGTGCTACTACTAGCAGAAGAAATTTTAAAGAAATTGAAAAGGCTAATGCAGAATGCTGAAAATGCCGATTTATTGTGTATTTAGCCCCTGTTTATAGGGAATCAATTATTTCTCCCAAAATTCTTTAAAAATCTATAAGTATATTGATGAGAAACTTTGGGCTGTAGCTGTCACCCTTTTTGTAACAATACTGGTGGTGCTAGTTGAGGGGACCGTGCGAACAGTATGTTTACGCCCCAATAATCCACCCGTGTATACGTGTTTATTTAAGGATAAATCATTAATATTAATTAATTATATTAATTTAGTCTAATCTAAATCGGGGCAAGACCGCGGCGTCATCGTATTGTAAGTAATATTGATCAATACAAAATGATTTTTATGGACTAATATTTCAGATACGTTCGTGGGAGCATCTTTGAGTGCAAAATTCAGGACACCAGGAAAACATCCTTCAGACAAGTGTGACCTCTATTCAACTTTAAAAAAATCATCGCATTCTGGTCGTTCCTGCGATCGATCGTGATATGAATTGGAACGGTAATGAGAATACGATAATACAATGCAAAGGAATTGTTTGGAGCAACATGGTGAACATGTTCGAAATTTCTCAATTCAAAGTGCCAATTCTTATTATTCCGTCGTTGAACAGTAAAATTTGGTTTTTCAACTCTCGTCTTGCTCACCTTACACGGCAACATTCAGAAAGTTACAAAGTAAACATTGCCCCTACTTCGTTGTACATATTGCGCGAGATTGGTTAGCTGAGCGAGAGAAGTTTCTTTGCTAAAAGCCAAGTTAATATAGGCTACGCAGAACGCACGTAAACGAATGTGTACGAAGTACATAGTGCATACCATGAATGGACATAAACTGAAATTCAATGCTGCTTATAGCACGAGAGTCGTGGCCTAACGTAATGTTTGCCGTCATTGAAATATCGGATTTTGACTTTCTTCGCATATAAAAAACTTCGAGCACGTGGAACAGATTCATCGCTACTTGTAATGACATAAAGATTATCAAAAAATAAAATTTAGGTCGAGCTGTTCAAGTTGACCCAATCGTTATTCAATGACGAACAACTACTAAAAGCATATTACCCGATGAATTTGACTCAAAAATTATTAAATCTATGTATCGCGTAATGTATCGTAAAGTAGGAAAATCGAATGAAGACAAAAAAGAGAAAAAAGGAGATAATAAGGTTGATAATGTTTTTAAGCAGACTTGAGTCGGCACAAACCGTGGCCCGATCCGATCCGTTTGAATTAGATAGGCTGTTTTTCCAATAAATGGGTCTGAAGGAGCGGATATTTTTGAAAATCCAAAAACCGGATTGCATCGGGGATTTGTTATCGATAAAATAGAACACATCGAATGTTTTTGAAAATCCATAAACTTTGGCTCCCGCACGCCAAATTTATAAACAATTGTGGCTAATTATACAGATTATGCGAGGATCGTTTCTATTTATCCGAGGCAGCAACGCTCTAGCTCGAACTAGCTGAAAGAGACCTCAAGAACGAATATGCTTCACCGACCTAGGAATTCAATCCAATCCATGGCTTGAACTACGATGACCTGAGCTTAGTCGTCTGTTCGAGAAGGAGTGTGTGCCAGATCGTGTAAATCATTTTATGACCACCTGTCAAAAGCCATAAGAAATGAGGACATCCATCTTCTGCCGAGTAGCAAATTTACGTGCCCAAAGGGGAACGATATTGACCGAAGAGCCCCTTATCCCACTAATTTTGGTACACATACAGCCTCAATACCAAGAACATTTCAAATACAAGACCTTCCACAACTTGAAAAATTTGAAGGATCCATTCGCCCTCTGTGATAATCGAGGTGAAAAAAAGTTAGCACATAAATGCAAAATAATTATTAGTCACACATTCATTATAACATCAGATCCGAAGCGCAGTAAAACCAAGGATTCTGCCAACTACATTTATGCATAACTTTAACATTTGACACCCTGTCATTCTATTTCATCAATAGATGAAGGGTGGTACCGACGTTTTTTTGTATGTGGAATATCAAATTTTTACCATAAATTGATATGTACATATGTAAGATAATATTTCAATGCACAATCCAGTCAATTTTATTATTTAATTTGTATTTTTCTGACACCGTAAAAAAATTTTCCCCTGTAGGTCCCTATTTTCAGGGAAATCAAATATCGAAATCACTTGCAAATATTCTTGGTAGGGATAGCGAAAAGCGTTACATTGCTACCAAAATTCTGTTGAAAAATAGGTAGATTGATGAGAAACTTTAGGCTTTAGCTGTCACCTTTTTTTTATAGGGGTGGTTTTAATTAATGGGACCGTGCGTACAGTACGGTCCCCCTTAACGGTAGTACGAATCACATCACGAAATTTCCTTGTGTAGCGCTATTCGTTAGTTGATAATTTAGTTTTAGTCTAATTAGTCACCGGTTTCGAGCGCGTATCCACCTGTCATTATTATGCTGAGTTTCGCAGATAGTTAGCGGATAAGAAACATTTGGCTCCTTCTGCGAACGTCTAGTGGGAGTTGGCAAATCTCTACATTCTAATCTCTAATCTCTACTAATCTCTACTAAACTCTAATCTCTACTAACATTCTAGCGAAAGTCAATCCGCAATTGACCAACCCTACAAAAGATTAACATATAACAAAATCATTTGGAGAAAGATTATGCAGAAATTTTCCATATTCTGAGCTCAAACGATTTCCACAGCAGTTTGGCGCCAGAGAGAAAACAGAAAGAAAACTGGAAAATTCACCCTGTAATTAGCATAACGAGAAAACGAAATAGGAAAAAATTCAGACAGGATGGAAGACGGCAAAGGGACAAGATAGGAGTCATGGAACGTTACCTTGGCTGGCAGTGGAAACACTTTATGCCATAAAATTTTAGTGCATCTGTTTTGAGAAGAAGTTTTAAGTGCGCCGATGTATTACCCTTACAACTACGTTAGATATAAGAATATAGATATCAGTTTACACATACATAAAGCAATACATTTCGTCTCCGTAACCAGAAAATTTACCTGCTGATATTTACTTAATTAACAACCAAATCAAATATTATTAATAATTGATGGCATCAGAAGCTCTTTCTTCAGCAAGAGTAATTCAACGATCATTTATAGATGTACGTGAAGGAGATGGATTTTGTTTTAATACATCACAAGTACACAAGATAACTTCTAGTCTTATAAGTAATAAAAGGCGCGGATAGTCCCAATGTACGCTATGGAAGTGTTGAAAATTAGAGTTGACATTACAAATATGGACAAATATTTAAAAGTTTCTTTTTCACTGAAGCTGTAGAAGCAAGGAATAAACGACCGTTAAATCTTACAGTGAAAAATGTTAAGCACAAGCCAAAAACGCGTCGCAAAGTAATCGAAAATGTTAAGAAATTCTGCAGATTTTGTACGCCGAAAAGAAAGTCAAATCAATAAATGAAGGAAAAAATTGATGACTTTTTCGATACATTCTCCAGGCATGAAAATAATGAAATGAGATTAACAGAAAATTCTCGTAAATACATTATATGAAGCCGTGCTCTACAGCACCACGACCTCATACAAGTGGTTTTTAATAGAAATTATTTTTGAAGTCGGACCTAAATACATAGCCCTCTTGGGACGAGGAGAGAAAACGAAATAAATGGCAACTCCTTCATGACACCTGTTTTACCTCCGTTTTAATTTGTAAAACTTCAGCCCACGATTCGCTTCGTAAGGTGAAATTTCCTTAGCGGCAGAAATTACAAGGGAATGATATACTGTTTATCATTCATCAGAATTTTTGTGTATACCATATACAAAATACGTATATCTACACTTCAACAAGTAAATTACGATGGCTACTCCAGAAGCGCAAACGCTTAGTTAACCTTCAAAACAACACTACGATGTACAAATTTATGGTTTTAATGTACGAATATCCGCATAAAACGGACGAATATAGGTTCCACAGGCGTCTATAAAAACTACGATCATTATTACAGAAGAAAAGAAGCACATTTGTCACTCATGATTTTGAACAACGATCTAAAAAGCTTGAGAATTCCAACATGGTGCTAACAGCGAGATTTCAGCAGGGAAGTAATGCTTTTGAGTGACCTAATGACTCTTAACTTGTGTACAATGAGAAATTTATTAACTAATGAAATTGGTTCAGCAAATCGCAAGTGAACAGTACAAATTGTTAACTGCAATTTTCATCAAAAACTGAGGTAATATTCACGCTCTAAAAACTGACTGAAAAAACCGTAAACTGCAGAACAGCGAAAGTGATTGGGGACAAGAAACGCAGACAAACAGTGGGTCACCTGTGTAAATTTGTACCCATTTAAAGTACATTCGCTAATCAAAATTGATGAAATCGCAAACCGGATCCGAGCATTTAAAGCCTAACTTGCAGAATTACGAGCAAATTGTCGCTAATACTAACAGGAGAAATTTTTAAGAAATTTACGAGGCTAATGCAGAATACTGAAAGTATTTAGAGCCTGTTTAGAGGGAATCAAATATCGGCATCAATTTACAAGTTTCTCGGTAGGGATATAACTAATTTCGGTAGGGAATTTAATGGCTTAGCGTTACATTGCTCCCAAATTTATTGTTGAAAACTAAATAGGTTGAGCATCATAACAAATATATTAGTAAACAATTATATGGTGGAAGCAGGGAGAATGAAAGGGTCGAACCGGCCTGTTCTATGTCAAGTACATATAGCAGCAGTAGACCAGCGCGCATTCAAGTGGCTGGTGCAACCTTCTTAGCTACTTAACCAATCCAAGGTGGAAAATAAATAAAATAATATTAAAATAAAAAATATTTCCTATTCTCGAAGTAGGAAGCAAACCTGTCACTTGTTCAAGTTGAACATAGCACGCTATTGAAACGGATATTGTTTCAACAACACCTTCCAATACTCTTATTTATAAGAACTGGAACTGGTTATTTCGGAATTTGAGGAAGAAATAGACGACCAGTTAACTACCCGACGAAACAGAAAGAACCACCTTAATGTCCACATCTGGAAGAACCCTCGACGAGACACCTTTCAGACCCGATCTAAGATTTACTCCTAAGGCTACTTCGACCCACCGAGACCCTATTAGTTCACAAGCCCGTCACGTAACCCAACGACACTCCCGCTTCGGTACTATGCTTGGACAGGAGGAGGGAGAAATCGCGCCAAACACTCTGGTCGGGGGTCCCATTAATTTGGAAAACGGGCAGCATCAAGAAGAGGAGATGATTTTTGATGAGCAAAATAAATATGGAGACAACCAGGGTACGGATGAAGAAGGGACTTATGCCCATTACGTAGGATCGGAACAGAGAGAACAATGGATCAAAGACGCTAAGGCCTTAACATGGAAACGGCGACAAGAACTCATTCAACTCGACAGAAAATTGTTCGGTAACTGAAGCAGTGCAAATAATCTACTGGTTCAGTACCGGAGAACCCTACTGGTAGAGTAGCGGTTCGGGTTGTATGTAAAAACCCTATCGAGACGCTAAAATTCTATTAAACATATGCATATATATTACTGCAGTAGTACTTAAATCGCCACAAGTACGGGTTTCAAGTTTGCCCTTCCACTTAACCGATTTGGTTTAAATATTTCACGAAATTGAAAACTGCAATTAGCAAGAGAACTGTATTAAAGCTTTTCATTATGGTGCAAATAATAGAAAACAGCCAATAAGTTTCATTCAAAATAAGGTTTTGCATTGTACGAATTTGTTGCTGACACCTTTCAAGAATATTAAGTCACCCGGATTACAATATATGTAAACTTTGGATTCCTCGATAGAGTTGAACTATTTGATACGACTGAACCACGTTTTTTTACTAATTACCTAACAAGAACAGGAAACTACATACTTTATCAAAATTATGCGAAATAACTAGACTAAAGAGTCTTTGCTAAAGACCAAATAATTAATGTTGGTCACCTTAATCCGTCAAGTTATTTGTTTGCATGATGCATCCACAGGGTGTCTTCGGAGATTTTCCATGTACCTAACTTGTTGACGGGTAACTTCATGTTTCCTGGCTCCAAGTTCTGGGTTAGTGCAAGAGAGAAATTTTGTTAGCATTATGGAAAAATAAATAAATAATTCATAAATACAGCAATGAGTTTAATTACCAGGTGGGAAATCTAAATATGATATCCGAAAAGGTTCTGCAACTATGGATTGGCACGGTGACATCTCCGTTTGTCTGCTCCTGTTAAATAACCAATCTTTTAAATTCATATCATCACTCTAAATAATTTCGGGACAAATCGTCACCTGCGGAGATAATGCATATGTATAGTGCTATATTTTTGGGTAATGATTAAGGACACTTTTATCATCAACGGGAAATATACATAAGTCCCAAATTAATCGTGTACTAAACCTATGTGACGTCGTTACCTACAAAAAATTCTAACAAGATTTTTGTATGTGAAACAATTTATTTTCTTAAAAATAAAGACGTTTACACACATTTTTAATGTTTACTAATTTTCCATTGGTGTCAAAACGGCTACGTAATCATTACCCAAAAATAGAGGTGATGATTTGTCTCCAAATTATTTACATTAATCAGTTTTATTTTGATCATTCAAAACTATGCGAAATAAAAATTGAAGCTTCTTTGAAAATTACAATAAAGAAAATGCTGGGTAAATTTACTCACCAGAAACTTATATCCCTTAGACCAAGTTGATGTGTTGACGGCAAAGTGTGTTATCGATGTATGAAGAGGCCTGAATCTAAAACATTAATTAAAAATGGAAAAAGTTAGCAAAATACTTTGCATTTCATAAAATTAATTTGAAAAATTATGGCTGGATTATACTTTTGAAGTTTAAAAAACGGGAGTATTTAGATTCTTTGGATGCCATGGGAAAGGGATATACATACAATTTAAAAATGTCTTATCTTAAAAATCTTAAAATACTGCACTATAAATTGACGGTACGTACATATGTATGTACCGCCGATGAGTTGTGAATGAATTTCGCTTAAATGCACTATTCACAATTAATCCAATCACCAATTCGATTTTTATGGACCTTTGCACAGTAAAATTATTGTTACGTTTTTTAAAAATTTTAGTTGCACTTTTGAATTTTGACACAACCATTGTTTTTATAAACTTATTTTTGCTACTTATTTTATCTACTGCTTGAAAAATGGGGGTAAAAATGTAAGCTCCTGGCAGGCAAAATTTTACAATTTTTTTAAACTATGCCTACGTGTTTGGAAAAATGTAAAGTTGCAAGCCCGAGATGAGTATCCCCAAAGTGTATGTACATATGTATGTATATTTTGCTAAATTGCCAAATCTTAAAAATGGAAAAAGTAGAATAAGTTTAGTAAAAAATGGCGTACATAATTTTAACCATAATATTTAATAATCTTTTAAACACATCAATAATTCAATAATTTAATAATATTGTTTGAGGAATATGCATCATATTCTACTCACTAAAAAAATACTTCAACAACAATGTCATCCAAATTTTCAAAAACTTTTATAACGTCTCAAAATATGTATGTAATTGTCTTTAAGAAATGCATAAATATTTTTTAACGCTAAAGTCCTTTTTAATAATAATTTAGTGACTAGATTTTACAGTAAGTGATTATTAACCAGCAGTAAATAAATTATGAAATTATTAAATTAACTACTACTTGAGAAAAACGATTTTATTAACTGGCTAACTCTTAATTAACTTAAATAATGAATTTATGTAGTTGCTTACCATTTTTATATCGGAGTGAAGTTTCTTCAAAGTTTACTATACTCCGCCCAGTTTGAATAATGGTTAGAAACTTAATTCAAAAAGTCCTTAAAAATCAAAACGTGTGGAAAATTAACTTCCTTGGAAGTTCACTAGTAAAAGATGAACTCACATTATTTTAACATGTATCCCACTTATGAGATGAAACTCGATTGCGGGGGCTTGGCCAGATCGAAAGAAAAGCTTTGTGTGGACTTTGACTTTCTTTGTTTCAGGAAGAATGAGAGAGACGCTGGATCTTTAGTCACCCTCGAAATGACACACTCTTAAAAATAATGTCACCCGTTTGAAAAGTAAATTGAGCCTCAATTTTATTCATATTATGTATCTAAGTAAGCTCTGATTAACATTAATTTGATAAAGCGTAAAGTTGACTCCAGATATTGTACAGTTTACGTAATTTAAAATTCAGCATAGATACATTTACCAGCCAAATGGGTAGGGGCAACATTATTTTTAAGAGTGCACTCCATCGTAACTAAATTTGTCACACTTGTCCACGGACGCCTGTGTACATTCATTCATAGTTAGGCAAGTTTCTTAAATGGACATAATTCAATATATGTAAATATGTATGTATGTGACGATATATTCGGGCAGACGTAAAGTTGGACAGATTTTGTAGATTGTATACGTACCCACACATGCCCGTTACGTCAACCCTTGTAGTCTTATTTTTTCTCCGGTTTTTGTAAGAAGATATGTAAAGTTATGACTGAAATGAAAGGGGGACAGTAAAGCAAGACGTGATTTGTAATTACATATTTCTAAATATATTCGACTATGTACATATGTGCACATGTACATATGTCTGATCTGTAGTGCGCCTGATTAAGATATATATATGTACCTGTGTTTAGTCAAAATTCATTCATTATAACAATGAAAAAAACTATTCGTTTTTCAGGTATTTTAATTTTGAAAATAAATATGTACTTCATTCATTTCGTGTTTCTCAAACTCGCCTTATTTCTCATGTAATAAATACAATTTTAGGAAACGATGACGCACATACATACGTAATAATGGAATTTTGTACATATGTATCAATACATATGTATTTATCAAACTAGCAACAATTCTGATGAATATAGCAAACTTCCAAATTTTATGAACGGGTACAAAAAATACAGGAAAAGTTACATATGCATATTCTAATTCTCTAGTCCTTGACAAGAGTAATTACATATGTAAGCCATGCACAAATCTTGTACGGGTGAGAAAATGAGATCCTCACATACAGGGTGGTTTAAATGTCAGGTTACAATGGAAAATTTTTCAATGGGAAAAATTCGTAAATTTCCATTAGTTACGGATTTGGGATTGAGATTTTTATTAATTTTTACCGAAACTTATGGAACACTGATGACAAAATTCTTAAAATATTGAATTTCAGAGGCAAAATTTCTGTAACTAATGGAGATTTGCGAATTTTTCCCATTGAAAAATTTTCCATTGTAACCTGACATTTAAACCACCCTGTATTTATACAAGTTTTCTATATATGGGTAATGTTGAGTAGAGCAAAGGGCCGTACATAAAATATGTTTTCGAATTTCGGGGAATTTTGACCCCCTACCCCCCGGCTTGAGCTACATGAAAGGATAGAACGCCTTAGCCCTTACTGCCCCCCAACCCAAATTGATCACAGGCTTTCTGCACGTTCCCCAAAATGAACAAAGTCGTATGTATTTATATGAAAAAAGTTGGAATGGTTACTCGGGGATGGAATAGGCCAAAGCGATGACAAGGACGGCATTGTTTAAAAGTCTTCCTGACTCAAGAAAGTTTTACGACGACAGAGAATATGAAAAGTGAAATGGGATGAGTTTCCAACTTCCTGTGAGCTGTAATGTGAACAAATCTCCTCACTGGCGATGAATTTGTGTGTATGTAAAGACCATAAATATGTAGGTAGGAACATGCATATTTGCACTTGCCGTAGAAAAGAAACAGACTTCTCCCTTAAGTTACTGTGCAAAAAGGATGTGATCGATTTCAGCCGGGGTAGGGGGTCAAGGCATCTTGTCGTCTCCATATTAATCACAACATAGGGAAAATAGATAGATCCCGCCAGGTGTTAGGAGTTAGAATTGTCAAAAAATCGATAACATGTTTTATGTACGGCCCCTTCAATGTGGAATGATAACAAGTTACATATGCAGTTCACAAATAATTTAACAATAAGCCAGAATAAATATATATTTTTTTAAATTATTTGTCTTAATTAATGTAATTATTTAATTTACACTCTAAGAAGCTGGGTATTGATTCTTAAAAAATATCAATACCAGCAAATAGTATTAACAGTTATTACTATTATAGTACTAATGTGCAGTTTTAAAATAATACTGATATTTAAAAAATTAATACCAGTAGAGTTTAAAACTTATTTAATACTGTAAAGTATTGATCAATACTTTTCCAGTATTGAAATTATACCATGTTTTTAATGACTCAAGTTTGTCCGTTACCCCACGCGTACCCGGCACATTCAACTCAGCAATTCGTCAACATGAGCTCCACAAAATTAGTTCGAGTATCAAATTCTTTTACATCAAAAAAATTAATTCCAAGTGACGGAAATTTTGAGGATTTTGTTACTTCAGGTAAGAAAATTTTAAATTTACACACGATTTACTTATGTTAATAACTTATATTACATATATTTAACAATATTTTAACCAACAATCTTAATTATTTTTTCTAGTGCGAACGAAATTCGATTTAGGGAACGAAGTAATTATCCGACTTGAAGATGATCAGGGGGCAGAGGTGGACTCGGATGTTTTTCATATTTTATTAGAAATTGAAAACATTCCAAATATAGTCTTTAAGTTGGGTGGAGAAGAATCTCATCATATAACAATTAATTTGAATCCTGACGACAGGAACAGCTCTACAAGTACCGAGTTAATGTGTGAGCTTTTTAATCGTATATTTATATTCTTAAATGTCTAAATATATAAGTACATAAATATTTATTTACTTTTCAGTCACCCATTCACCATCATCCAAAATTCAACGGCTGCAACAGGATGGTTTTAATCAGGTAAAAATAAAATTATTAATTACCCACAGTTAAAATATTATTATTTATTATTTATTTTAGGTGCTGGGTAATTCAATTAATGATAATCAAGAAATTAGCAGAGTTGTAGCAGATTGCAACACAAAAGGGTTTGTCGATGACAAGTCAGCTGTGATTCTTGTGCAAGAATTTGTTTCAAAACTTGTGGAGCTAAAAGGGTAAGAAGTATTTATTTGTATTTAAAATTCCTCCATAAAATATTTAAACTTGATTTTTGTATTTTTTGTAATTTTAGTGAATCTCCAAGTTCTTCTGACCAAAAGAATTTGGCGTCAGCAATTATTCAATATATTCCATGTTGGCGATACGCTGGGTCAACTGAAGGCTTGGTAAACCATATAACTTTTATAAATAATTAATTCATATTTAATTTTCGTAATTAAATAATTTTTATTGCATTGCAGGATATACTTTTTGATGAAATTGGACGGTCAGGACTAATCCAACGGAGATTGAGGACAATTCACCAAAAACTGAAAACCACTGAAAAAAAGAAGGAATTAAGGGCAAAGAAGACACAGCTTGGAACTGGCGGACCTAAACCTAAAACTGCAAAACTGGATGACAACGTTGACAACGGACAATATGACGAGTTAGTTAGGAGTTTAAATGGCAGCAGTGCAAAATCGGGATCCGCAGAAATAATTAAACTGGCGCAAGACACCCTCGAGCACAGAAATTACTTACGACGAGTCAATCCACAATCAATCCTGCTGGTTTATACAAAATTTGCGGACTGCGACTTTTTAGTATAATCCGATTAAATCAATATTATTTGTCAGTATTTTTAATTATTTGAGTTAAACATTAATTTTTATTTATGTTAGATCCGCTTGGAATTTTCTCTTCTTCAAGGAGAATCACAAGAAAACTTTACAAGAATTTGGCCGTCATTTTCCTCACAGCTGCTGGAGAAAGTGAAAGACTTAAAGCAATCCCCGTCTTTATGTAAATTTCTAACAGAGGAGTCTGGTTTGCAAAATACTATTTTTTAAAAATTTGGTTTATTTAAAACAAAGTTTTCCTTGAAATTTATCAAAATTCGTTTTATTTTAAAGATAATTGGGACTCTGAAGTAGCAGCACTCTTCGTTCTTCTTTATTTAATCCCCCCAGCTGCCCAAGGGAGAGGAAAAGGGAGTCGGTGTACAATTGATGAAGCAAAGAATTTGCTGATCTCATTTTATAAGGTACATAATGACTTTTAAATTAAAATGTATTCTAACTATTTTAATTATTCAAATTGTTGTTATGAATTTAATAACATTTTTTTTCCAGACTGCAACTCCTCTACCATCCATCCTGGATACTTGGAGCGAGGATAAGAGACAACCAAACCTTTTGTGTCTTGGAGAAAACAAGAAAACACTTTCTTCCTTTTATCTCGTTGTAGATAAAGTACTGCTGCCAATTGACGCTAAGAATTCTGCACAAGCAATTGACCTCCTCTTCAAATCACACTACGTCTTCGGAGCAGAATACGACAAGAACTTGCAAGGCCTATGGAAATTTCTTCAAGTTTATATTTATAAGGTTGACGTGGACAGTACTGATCTTTCGGGAAAGGTGAAAAGTGTTTTTACTCAATTAAGTAATATTTTTAATAATCTCATTTAAAAAAATGTTTACTTGCCCAGTCTGTCAGATATTAGTTTTAAGGGCGAGTGAGTTTCAAACTCATTTAAAATTTGTACATAATTATGGACACAGTAATTTTCCTCAATTAATTTGCCCTTTTAGTTCATGTAATATAACGTTAGGGACATGGAGTGGATTTTTACGTCATGTAAAGTCACACGATAAGTTTCTCGAAATAGGCTCCCAGATACCAAATCTATTTTTTGAGCCAACTTTAAATAGTTCCAATTTTAGTGAAGCTCAACAAGAGATTAATATTGACTTTGAGGATCCCAAAACTTTTGAAAATATCTCCGTTGATACTGGTATAAAAATAGTTTCAGAAATTTTAGGTAATTTCTGTTCCTCTATAATTGCAAGTGGTGTTAATAACTCTGTAATGGATGTAATTGTAAAAGAAATGGAATATGTATTTGTAGAAATTATTAACTTAGTTACTAAATTAGGGAAACAAACTTTAGGTGAACAATT